CAGCATCTGTGACCGGCATCTTCAGAGAGCAGGAGCACAGACAGGAGCAGTTCTCTCAGGTTAGGAAACAAAACTTCCAGAACACGGCCACACAGCCCGGAAGACCCACACCAGCCATCTCAAGCAAGACTTCCAAAACTGCAAGAGAACTTGAATGAAATTTCAGCATTTTCACTTAAGATTTTGGCAATGTTTTGAAAATATTTTTCATTTAATAGGGTTTGTGGGAATGTTTTTTGGGGAAAATGAATGTTCTGGCATCTGCCAGTGTTGCCATTCTGGGGTCAGCCTTTTTCCCCCTGAAACATGAGCATTTTTTGAAAGAAAAAAGCATCACAGCTTTAACTTCTCCCATAGGCCATCAAAGAAAAATGTATCTCCTTTAAGCCTTTAAAGAAATGGAAGATTTGTCCAGACAGAATCTCTGCTCCTGAGCTGCCTATTGAAGCTTTTTTTGTTCAAGTCAACAACAGATAAAAATATAAATATATTTATAATGCATGCCACACCAAAAACTCACCAACCAAAGCAAAGTACACAAAATAGGGAGAACTATTTAACTGGATTCAAAAGCTCATTGAACCAAATGATAATATCTGAAAATCAAAGTAGCTCATTGAGATGGAAAATCTGACTGAAGGAAAAGCAGTTCAAAGAAGTAAAGAGAGAAGAATGGCAGGTGTAGAAAAAGCAAACAAACTAAACATCACTGTTAAGAATAGTCTAGTAAGTCTTCATGATATACAAACTGGGGTGTTGGACTAGGAGCATAATTCCAGTCTCTATTTGGTCATGAAACTCACTAGATGATTCTGAATGAGTCACTCTCTTAGCTCAGAGATGCACAGCTCAAACCCCCAGAGCTGTGTTATTCTTCCAAGACTTCCAAAACTTAAGGTGTAACCACCAGGTAACTTCAAGAATTATCAGATTGTATGACTGAAGGGTGAAATTGTTAATCGAGAGACTGGAGAGTAATAATGAGAACATGTCATTTGAAATACATGAGAATGAAATCAAAGTTAGTCTTCATTCTGTCCAATCCCCCATTCTTTGGAATGTGACTATCAAGTACGACCTTTTAAAGCTAGAAGATGCACATTTCCTCATAAGGCTGTTGTGGGGATACAATGGGAGAATCATAAAGGCTAGCCAGTACTGCATGGAAAATGGAGTAACAATTGCATTAATTAATATAATGCTTATTCTACATTTAATATATTCCATTTTTTCTTTGCAGGAACGATGAAATAGATAACTTGTTTAAAAATATGTTATTTTCATGCATATACGTTTGTGATAAATTTCCTTTTAAAAATATCTAAGATGATCATACTTAACTGAAATTCTTTAATTTTGCATGAAACTAATTATTATCATAATTAGGAGAGAAAGCTACAACCCTTCTCTTTTGTTCATTGCTGAAAGTAATTCTGACATGTTTTGATAGAATTTAAACCTAGCATCAGAATACAAGTACGTTTTTACACACATACATGCCTTACTCATCAGTGTAGTTGAACTGATATGATACAAATCTCTCTGAAATTTTTGTATTCCTTCTCTATGCACTTTTTAACATCTACATTATTATGACAAATGCCTAAGCTGTTTAACTATTTAAACAGATATTTTCAGTGACCATTTTTAGGAGGAGAGAAATCGAATTAGGCTGGGTTCAAAATCACCTGAAGCTTAGTTTGCTTAAAAATGGTGGCTGAACTAGCACATAATATACTAAGCTGTAACTAAACAACCTTCATTGTAGTTGAGCATGATATGTTAGCTTTGTCACCATCTTCCAGCCCAATCTTCTGAATGGATATCACTTTCTAATTCCAGATCTGGAGAGAGGAATAGACTTTTTCAAGCAACATAACTTAGGATTTGTCAGTTTGTACATCATGATTTGTTGAATAAGCTGGTATGGTCTGCACATCATCTGATGCAAACAATCTGCATTACAGCCTGATGAGTACTGGAGACCAGTGGGGCAAGAGTATCTCCTCTGCCCGTGCCACCTGTGGCTTTTGTACGTAGAGGCTCAGCTCTGTTCCTAGGCCCAGGTTCTAAAGTTGTCAGCCTAAAGCTGCAGGCCCTTGGCTTTAATGGAGGATATAATCCATTCTACTTTAATAAAAGTTATTATCCATATATTTATGCCCATATGAAAGATGAACTCGAATATTTTCTATATCAATAAGAATATCTCCAGACATAATGTTTTTGGTTTAGCTTCCAAATTCAAACCCCATCCCTAGATCAGAAGATCTAGACTTTGAAGATGTGTGCATGTGAATGCTGTTTTTTAGCTGATATAGTGGTTAAGTCATCAGGCAAAAACCCGGGAGACCCTGAGCTCTAGTCCCAAACCCAGCTGGGTGACCCTGGGGCAGTCCCTCTCTCTCAGCCCTGGGAAGGAGCAGGCAAGGGCAAACCAATTCCGAAATCTTGCCAAGAAAACTGCAGGGACTAGTCCAGGCAGTGTCCAGGAGTCTTGAATCCAAAGAGAGGGAGAACGTTACTCTTGCATGTCACACTCATGTCATCTGGGGCAAGGAGAGAAAGCAATCAGAGCATCTTTTACTTGCCTGATGATCTGCCCTTCACATGGATCCAACTAGAATTAATTCCCATCGCTTTAAAGGAGTTTTCTCCTAAATTAATGTACACAAGACTACAGATATCTAGCCCTTTTAGTTAAGTCCTATGCATACTGATTAAAAAATAATTCCCACTGATTTCTTTCAACAGAACCATGGTGTTTGTTTAGCTACGGCTTCTCAGAGAAACCACAATTGACTGGACTCACCTAACACACTAAATAATGGTGTACAAAATCTGTGGCTGGATTCACACATCACACTAATCATAAACAAATGTTTTGACTTAATTGGATGTGTTTCTGTTGCTTTCAGAAAATAGTGTCCATGGGGTGATTTGTGACAAAGCTTCAGTAAGGCAATTTCCACCTCTGTCACTACAAAGATGGGTTCACCACAGAACCGAGTCCCCATCTTTTCATTCAGGGAAACTGGAGGAAGGACTTCACAGCGTTCAGGACTTCTATTCCAGTTGCAATCTTTCTAGGAAGAAAGAGCAAACTGGTTTCTCAAATACTCGCCCATTGGAATTTCTCGGAGGTTGTGATTTCCCAATAAAAAACTTTCACGTCTGAATTCAAGGAACAGGAAGTTTTCTCCGGTCCTCGGCCCTTCCACAACTGGTTCTTGAGCACCCAGAGACTACGAGACACCCAATTCTTTTTGTGTTACTTATAAGAGGAAATCAACAAGCGATCCCTTTGCTCCAGGTATAACTGGTTTTACACAAAGCAGCCATCCAGCCACCTCTCCCCTCGAGCGCCCGAGTGTTTCTCCTCCGCAGACGCTTCCGCCTTTGTAAGGAAATCTATGAATGACAAGACGCGCTGAAATTCACTTAACAAGCTTGTGGCGTTTTTCTGACTGACTCCAAAGGCCCTGGCAAACAATGGCAAAACGGGCCGGGAAAATAAAGGTTATAGGTTGGGCTGCATTTCTACGCACAGGACTCAAATCGAAAGCACTTGCCTGTGGATTAGTGGAGACGGACCAGAAAGCAAGCTTGTTTACAATTGCCCGGTTAGAGATACAAGGCAGCTTTTAAAAGGCAGCTGGGTAAATTTTCTGCCAAGGGAATGCATGAAGAGAATACCCAACACGAGAAGCAGGCAGGGCTTAAAATGGAAAGAAAAACGGAAGCAAAATCGCTAGCTAAACTACAGAGTAAGAAGGGGCGGGGGGGAAGAGAGAGAAACTTTGGGGGAACCGAGAGGAAAGAAGAACCGTCGTATTCATGTGGCTTGGAGCAAAGGCAGAACAATACACTTAAGAGCGTCGGCGAAAAGTTGCAAGCTCGGCTGCTTAGCGGGCGAGTTACAAAGGCAAGAAGAAACTTACGAAGCCCCCACCGAGATCGGCTACGCGCTCCGACCGCCCTGGAGCAAGACCGAAACTCCGACGCGCCGCCCAGGAAAAGAGTGAACTCCCGGCGGAGCCGCCGCCGCCGCCGCCG